ATTAAACTAGTGTTTTTAACAAAGATAATAATAACAACAATACTTAAACTTGAAATATTTTTTGTATTTTTTTATAGGAATTAAAGATAATAGCAATACTTAAATAAAAAAAATAGAAGTAACAACTTAATTATAAGATGCTTTTAATAAGCTAATAACTTAAAAATAAAGCTAAATTAGAGAGATTTTAACTAAAACAAAGATTAGAAGAGAAATTTTTAGAGAGAATTTTTAGAGAGAGAAGTTGTAAGAATTTTTTTGATGTCTAAAACTTGAGAATTAGGGGGGTATTTATAGGAAAATAAAGGGGTTAATTTGTAAATAAAAGAAAGTAAATAAATTAAAATTCAAGGATTATTTTGGTAAATATCAAGATTTTGGTAATAATGAGAATCTTGATATTAAATTCTCTTGTTTTACATGTAACAAACTTGCTAATCTGTTTTGCAACGCTTAAACTGATGAAATAAAGAAAACCGTAATAAAATCAACTCTAATATTCACATAATAAAAAAAAGGTTCTAAAATGCCATGGTATATATATATATATATATATATATATATATATATATATATATATATATATATATATATATATATATATATATATGACCAAGTCGTGTCATAACTCAAAAAAATAAATAATACTCACATGGTATACAATAAAAGAGTGCCTAAATTTAATTAGTCACTATTATACTCACCAAGGTGTTAAAAAAAAACTTATAATAAAAAGTCAGCTCTGAGATGTCAGCTCTAAAAGATACACAAAGACATTAGGTTACAATACTAATAGGGTTGGACAAAATATCTCGGAGTTAGTAAAAAAAGCAAAAAAAGAAATAACCGTTGCCCTTATTAGATAGTACATTTACCCAAGAACATCTGAACATACGACAAAACCTTATATATACGAGCATAACCCTAACTAAAAAAAGTAGATCATATAAAATCATAAGACTGACATGGTCAACGTGAAAATACATCATACAATACTAAGCCATACAACATAAATTTAAGGTGGTCAAGAGTAAAATATATTCCCTTGACCGGATGACCTTTAAAAAAAAGGTGAACTCTTATCTTACTTTACTCTACTAAAACACAAATTTAAATTTATCACAGTCGTAAAAAAAAAAAAAAGACAAAAGGTACAAAACTAGATCAAAACAACAGAAAAACAAATAAAACGGAAGCCATACTCATGTCTGCAAAGTAAATTATCATAAAAGAAATTACTATTTGGAATAGTCTCAAATAGTGTTTGAATAGTGAAATGCAATACATGACACGTCTGAAATCTAGCTGTCCCAACTAACGTCAGATAAATATTGATGTAATTGGTCCAAATTGAAATTTATTGGATACAATATTAACCGCGGGGGTAAAAAAAAGGTGACGTTATTTCACTATTGACAATTGCTTATCAAAACTAACAAAAGAATACACAAAGTAGACTGAGTAAACAAACCATTAAAAAAAAAAAAAAAAAAAAAAAGCGAAAGTCAGAAACCACAAGCTACAGGAATTCTCAAAAAAAAGTCAAGTATCATTGAAATGATATGAAGCACGATCCTATTTTTTAGGAACAAACACTATTCATCTATACGTGCAATTATACATTTACACCCATACGTATCCCTCTTTTATTCTCATTCATACAATACTCAATTATCCTTAGATAAATATCAATGGGTTTGGTCCGAACTTATATTTATCGGATCAAGTATTAACTGCGGGACAAAGATATTATAACAAGCGTACATAAAAGGGGGCCCCTTTAGCACTATAACATGTAGTACTCATTTAGATGTGGAAATATTTGTCATTTCTCTATATTGGTTGGACATGAGTCTTTAGAGTAATGGACTTTATGGCTTAGGTAAATTGGTCATATAATAGGGTAGTACACAAATAAAAAAAAAAAACTCTAACAGTCTAAGTGAACATATTAATATACTTATTATACTCTAAAGGGTTAAACGATACTTGTTTATAAGGAAAATGAAATATCCCCCTGACGAGACAAAAAAATTGTACTTTATACTATACGATTATTATACATATATGTATAAAAATACGGTCTAAAATACTTACTTTTACTATAAAAAGAAATTACCCTTATCCAAAATCTCCACTCACCACTTAATTCTTATCTTCCTCCATCTTCCTCCTTACCCGAAAAAAATCAAACAAAAACCACCATTAAACTCAACCACCATGTTTCAAGAAAACCAGGAAGATCAACCTGTCTTCACCTTTGAGGAAGACATGAGGATGATAAGGGTGTACTTCATGTACATTGTGGGGCTAGTGGTCCTCCTAATGGCTGTATTAATTTACTTGTTAATCCATAAGTAAAAACCCAAAAATTACTTCGGTGGAGCAGGGTAGAAATGTATGTAGTGTCAGTTGTACTTCAATATTTTGTAATTTAGTAATTTAGAAGTACAAATTGTAACATGTATTTTGGAAATTATGAATAAAAATCATTATTATTACTCGTTTCCTTTGTTTTATGTAATAAAACAAACACCATTAAGTTTATAAAAATAATTAGCAAAATAATAATTATTATTTGCAAAAAAAAAAAAACAATAATTATAGTAATAAAAAATGATTAATAGTGATAATTAAAAAGGTAGGATCAAAATTTGGTGTCTACAGATTGCCCCACATTGATTGAGTTTAAATAAAACGATAATCAATGTTTGAGAAAAGACACAAAATTTTGATGTATGTTAAAAAAAAAAGAAATCCTAATTGATCTTCATTTAAACATTGACCTGAGTGAAGTTGAAAAACTGGCTACAAAATAGAGTGAAATTCTCACTCAATTGCAACACAAATGTTGGCTTGGGTGCAGTTGAAAAACTGGCTGAAAAATAAAGTGAAATTCTCACTCAATTGCAACACAAATGTTGGCTTAGGTGCAGTTGAAAAACTGACTGAAAAATAGAGTGAAGTTCTCACTCAATTGCAACACAAATGTTGGCTTAGGTGCAGTTGAAAAACTAGCTGAAAGAGAAAGAAGAAAATAAATAGAGTGAAATTCTCACTTAGTTGCAACACAAATGTTGGCTTGGGTGTAGTTGAAAAACTGGTTGAAGAATAAATAACAATCATTCTTGAAAAAAAAACACTATTTATGGATTTCGGATGCAAAAAGAGCAGGTGGTTTGTACCGAGTTTTCGGAAAAGTAAACTCCTTCGGCCTTTTCTCCTTGGCTCTATTAACACCACCACCCCTATAAAAAAAAGGTGGTGTTCATTCCTTTCTACACCAAATCAACTCCCTTCTTCTTCTTTCAAGCTTCTCAAGTCTTATTTATTCTCTCCTCAAATTTCTAAAAAAAAATGAATGCCATGTTTCAAGAATTCAATGAAATCAGTGGAGCTAGAAAGCTCCAACTAAAAGGGGTGATAGAAAACATTTCTCCACCTCGTCTTTCCTCTTATACAAGTGTCTTTACTAGAACCATCACCCCTCTCCTTGTTATTCAACCTCGGTATGATATGATTCATGCTGCTATTGAATTTTGGGATGAAGAACACCATGTTTTTCGTTTTGGAGAGACGGAAATGACTCCTCTTCTAGAAGAAGTGGAGGGTTTACTAGGTCTTTATAAAGAAGGCCGTGTGATTACACCTGCTGACCCAAGGGCAACCAATGCGGCCATGAGGGATTTGCTAGGCATACCATTAAATATGGAAAGCAATTATCGCCTGCTTGACAGCTTAATGTTAGAGAATTTCCTTGAAACCTTCTCTTTATCTCATTGGGAATCTGCCAACAATGAGGATTTCAAAATGTGCCAAGAGAGAGCTTGCATCCTTTTATTGCTCGGCCTTGTTTTGCTCAAAGAATCATTATTTTCTTGTCATGTTCGTTGCCTTTCTTTGCTGTCACATATTGAGTCAGGGAACCATTTAGGGCTCTTATCCTAAGGGAACTTATGACGGGGCTTGACCATCTGAAACAAAATCCAGGTGGTTTTGTTAAAGGGTGTCCAATTGTGATTCAACTTTGTTTATGCGAGAAATTCAAGCTGTCTAGACCACCTTTTCGAACTCCTTACCAAACCCGACATATTCGGGAGAGAGGCTTTTTTCCTATATTTTGTCAATGTTGCAATCATGGTGGATGGAAAGACGTATTTGCCGTAGCTGATGTGGAATGGATCATTTCATTTCTCAACATAAATTCCATAACAATTAGCACTAGCAGACGCAGAGGTGTTCAACTTCCAGGATTGTGTCGTTTCACATTCTATCTTCCTTGGAGATGCTTGAGACAAGCGGGCCAACTCCAACGACTCCTAGAGCTTCATGAGCTCCCAGTGGTACCTTGTACCACTTATGAAATTGGTAGTGTGGAAGCTCTTAGGGCGTCATCCCGTGTATGGCAATTTGCACGAATGCTTCCAGCACTTTTAGTCCTCGAAGATGATGTTCCAACCGCGTCCTATACAACATGGTTGTTGGAGGACCTCGAGGGCGATGCTTGAATAAATCCCTAGAGGGATTTCGTTATTTGTACTTCAAAATTTGTATTTTGTGTTTCCCTTGCTTATGTATTTTCAATTCGAAAAGAAGAAATCGTATCCGAAGGCATTCGTCTCTTGGTTATGGTGTATGTGGTTGTTGTTTCCATGTTTAAAAATGGATGTAATCTCGCCAAAAACTGAGAGAGTTTGTGTTATGATCAAATAAAAAAAAATGTTTGCTGTAATCATATTTTGTTAAGTATTGCCTTGATCATGATCTTTTAATAATAATGAATATTTCTACATGACTCTTAAGCATGCAATGCAAACATGAATGGAATATAAACTTTAACATGATACACGTGACTATCTAGAGTTAGTAGGAGATTCACGTTTTTTTTTTCGAATCCCATAAATACAACACCGTACTAATCAAGCATAATACTTTTTTAACTGATCAAGGTTGGTGAAATGAACAAATTCATTTCCATCAAGATCCATCAATTTTACTGCTCATGCTGGTGTAAGATGTTTGACCAGGAAGGGACCAAACCAGTTGGGCTTGAACTTTCCACGTGGATCATGAATCGGTGCTCGATTTTCCTTAAGTACCAAATCTCCCTTTTGGATATTCCTTTCCTTGACCTTTTTATTAAATGCCCGAGCAATGCGTCTTTGATAAACTTGAATGTTGTGAAGGGCTTGTAACCTTCGTTCACTTGCCAAAGAAAGTTCATCATATCGTTCTTTAAACCATTGTTCTTCAGATATCTCGCTTTCATTCATTACGCGAAGCGATTGAATCTCCGTTTCGATTGGAAGAAGCGGGTCCATTCCATATACCAAAGAATATGGAGTAGTCCCAGTTGGTGTTCGAATGGAAATTCTGTATCCCCAAAGTGCGTAGGGAAGTTTATCGGGCCATTCTCGAGCCCTATCTGTCATCTTGGCGATTATCGTCTTGAAGGTTTTGTTAGCTGCTTCAACAGCTCCATTGGTTTGAGGACGATATGGTGATGATTGGTGATGTCTGATTTTGTATTTCTCAAGGGTTTCTTTGAGATGGCCTTCAAATTTCGAACCATTTTCGGAAATAATTTCAAAAGGTACCCCATACCGACATATAATGTTATTGATTAAAAAATTTTGAAACTTGTTTTGCCCCTAGTTTCGAATATGATGATGCCTCCACCCATTTTGAAAAATAATCGACAGCAACCAATATATATTGATGCCCGTTCGAAGCTTTCGGATGTATTTTCCCAATGATATCTATGCCCCAGCTGGTAAAAGGCCATGGAGAAGTAAAATTATTCAGGCTAACTGACGGCATATGATTAAGGTTCGCAAATAGCTGACATCTTTTGCATGTTCGTACGAAATGGATGCAATCACTTTCCAAAGTGGTCCAGTAATACCCTGCTCGCAGAATCTTATGAGCAAGCATTCGTCCATTCATGTGAGGCCCACATTCTCCCCCATGTACCTCTTCCATGATCCTTCGTGTCTGCTCCCCATCGATGCATAATTGCAAATTTCCATCAAAACTCTTATGATATAACAAACCTTTCAATATTGTGAAATGAGAAGCTAGCCTTCGAATAGCCAATTGATCCTTCTTGTGACTTCCTTCAGGATATTCTCCATTAATTAAATACTTCTTAACGTTAGTATACCAAGAATCCTCATCATCTTCTTGGGTTAATAAAGCAATTGTTGGTTTAAAATTAACCACTGGAATTTCTTTTTCTACAATTGTTACCGATTGTACCTTCACATCATCGTCCCAAGTTAAATTTACCGCCAGATTTGCCAAAGCATCGGTGAAACTGTTTTGTTCGCGAGGGAGATGTTTGAACTCTATTTCTTCAAAGAATGGGATAAATTGTTGAAGATACTCCGTGTACATTTGCAACCTTTTGTCCCGAACTTTCCAAGCTCCAATAGTCTGGGAAATTATGAGATAAGAATCACCGTATACTGTGAGATTTTTTGCACCAGCTGCTAATGCCGCTTTGATTCCATAGATGCAGGCTTCATATTCAGCCGTGTTATTCGTCGTTGGGAAACTAAGCTTCACAGCGAAAGGAATATGTACTCCATAAGGATCGATCAATAATACCCCTACACCATTTCCCCTTCTATTTGAGGCTCCGTCGAAATACATCTTCCATTGTGACGTACTAAGATAGAAAATATGTTCATCTGGAAAATCATCATCAAATTCATCACCCGATATAGGTCCATCAGCCAAAGCTTCAGATATAGCCCTCCCTTTGACAGACTTTTGATTCACGCACTGAATGTCAAATTCTGACAATATCGCATGCCACCTTGCTATTCTTTCACTCAAGATTGGCTTCTCAAAAATGTACTTGATTGAATCTAACCTCGAAACCAGATAAGTAGTATGTGCTTGCAAATAATGTCGAAGCTTCTTTGTCGCGTAAATAAGGGCAATACAAGCTCTTTCTAAAGGAGTGTATCTAGTTTCATACTCAAGGAAATTTTTACTGAGGTAGTAGATAGCTATTTACTTCCTTGTACCCTCTTGGTATTGTGCCAAAAGAGCTCCCATGGCTGTTTCCGTAATAGTAAGATATAATATCAAGGGCTGCCCTGGTTTCGGCGGCATTAAAACCGGAGGATTGGAGAGGTATTCTTTCATTGAATCAAATGAGGCTTGACATTCGTTATTCCATTTTGTAGGAACATTTTTCTTAAGTAACATGAATATAGGTTCACACCGGGTTGTCAATTGCGATATGAACCTACTAATATATTGAATTCTACCAAGAAATCCCCGAATCTCCTTTTTCGTCCTTGGCGGAGGAAGCTCTTGTATAGACTTTACCTTGTCAGAATCAACCTTAATTCCGTCTTGACTTACGATGAAGCCTAGAAGTTTTCCCGAAGTTACTCCAAATACACATTTATGAGGATTCAATCTCAGATTGTATTTCCTAATTCTATTGAAGAATGATTTTAAAGCATCAAGGTGCGTTTCACGATCATGACTTTTGACAATCATGTCATTAACATAAACCTCCACAATATCGTGGATGAGGTCATGTAAAATCGTCGTTGCAGCCCGTTGATAGGTTGCTTCGGCATTCTTTAATCCAAAGGGCATTGCTCTATAACAAAAGGTTCCCCATGGGGTAATAAAAGAAGTTTTGGACATGTCCTCTTTTGACATAAGCACCTGATTATATCCCGAGAATTCGTCCATGAATGAGAACATGGCGTGTCCAGCAGTGTTATCAACCAGAACATCAATGTGGGGTAAAGGAAAATAGTCTTTTGGTGATGCTGAATTTAAATCCCTAAAATCAATGCACACTCTGACCCTTCCATCTTTTTTGGGTACTACCACCACATTCGCCAGCCATTCCGGATGCTTAATTGGTTTGATGAAGTTGGCATCAAGCTGCTTTTGAATTTCCTCCTTAACTTTGAGACTAACTTTCGGTTTCATTCTACGAAGCTTTTGTTGCTTTGGCTTGCTATCGGGATAGAGTGGTATACGATGTTCAGCAATGCTATGATCGACACCAGGCATATCAGCATAAGACCATGCAAACACATCCACATATTCTTTAAGTAAAATAATAAATGCATTTTGTTCATCGAGGGAAAGGATGGATCCTATCTTGACTTCTTTTACATCATTATCCGTAACTATGTTTACAGTTATAGACTCTTCCATGGGTGTCACACATGATTTAGGTTCATTGAAAAGTTCATTATTAGAAAATGCTTCATGATCAAGATCAATTTCTTGTACGCAAATATGTTTACAAGTAATTTTATCGATATCTTCATGATATGGGATATCAGGCAGTGTATGGATAGATGATTGTCTAGATGATGAGCTATCGGTTTCATAACCGTCTGAGATAGAGGATTGAAAAGGATATAGTTTAGGGAAAAAGGGAATTGTTCTCGAGTTTCGGATCGGATATTGTTTCCAACTTCTGTTTTTATTGGAGTAATAAGCGTAATGGGATCCAATCGGACTTCATAATCAGAAATTGATGAAAACAAGCCTCTTAGAACTCCTTGCTTTAGATGGTCAGCCCAATCAAAATCTTTCTTAGATACCGGTTTCTTATCAAACCATTTCTTAATAAATTCTTCATTCCTTGCTTCTGCAAAGAAAATTTCTAACCCAGGGAGAATTTTCTCTTTATCCAAGTCATACCAAGGTTCAGGAAACTCATAAAATGGCTCAGTGTCATTTTGCAACACAAATTGCCCATTCAAAGTGAGAGACTTCTTTTTCATAACCTTAGAACCCATGTTCTCATCGAAGCCTAAACCATGACGATTTCGCTTATCGATTATTGGGATTGGGTGCCTCATGCCTTCACCGTTTCGTCCTAAACCAGCTCCTGGAACATAACCCATTTTCAACATCAATTGAAGTCCTCTAGTAAGTGTTTGGGGTATTGGATCTTGGATTTCTTGAATGGAATCCGAGGGTAGAGTAGATTTTCAAGTTTGGTTGGTCATGGGTTGACAAAGGATACCTAAACATTACATACTGAAGATTAGGATTTCCTCATTTTTTTTGAAAATAATTAAAAAAAGTAAACGATAAATGCAAAAATGCATGCGAAAAAAAAGGATTTTGGTAAAAATTTAAGGACGTCTATTAAGTTAGATAAGCTAGTGGGGTGTTCATTCCCAAAAAAAAAACTTTTTAATTATTTCGGGTCGCGCCATAAGCCTACCTACGTATCTCCAGATAGATTTTTTTGTATTTTCACATTTTTTTTCTCTCTTTTTTTTGGAGAATCAGACCCGTCGTAGTTCAAAACGGAAGAAGGAGGTTTTTTTTTTGAAACAGCTGCACTCTTTCAGAGTTGCCTACGTACCCCAATAACAATGTGCGTGCAAGTACAATTTTGTGTATGATCATGAAATAGTGCTTTAGGGGATCAAGCTGTACGTAGTTCTTTGTACCAAAAGAAAACATAAGGAGGAGAAAAAAAATGCTTGGTTTATAGTGCTCATACTACCCCTTTTATTCATCCTTCTTGATGGAGGGTAAGATAGAGGTCACCATGTCGTTGTTGATGCTTCCTTTCCCATGTATAGATTCCTTAGGCTTTAAGGTTTTCAACAGTATTTCTCGTAGTCCGAGTAGTGACGAGCAATCAAAAGAGTGGGATCATCTTCGTGTGTCCAAAGAGAAAGGGAATTTATGGACACTTTCTGATTCGGGCAGGAAATTCCAGTTGTGCGCTTTATACACCAACGGAGGGCGTGACATTCGTTAGTATCATGGCCATGTAACTGATGATAGTGACAATATTTTTTGAGATTTGGTCCAACAGGATCAGCTCCTGCTCGACGAGGTAGTGGCTTGATACGACCTTCTTCGAGTAGTTGAAGGAACAAATCAGCTTGAGAGGCTCGTGGCTATGCCGGGCTTGTCTCTGGTACGCTAGACTGAGGATGGGCCGGAGTGATGATCCCACGATCAATAAGATCCTGGATTGCACATTTAAGGTCATAACAAGTATCGGTTCTATGCCCATACAGATGACAATAACTGCAATATTGTCTCATATCGGTCCCATGTGGTGGTAACGAATACACATAGCTTTTTGCCCAAAGAATACCCTTTTTGCTCAAACGATCGTACACCACACTCAATGGTTCGTCGATTCGAGTGAATATCCTCCTGTTAGCTCTTTCACCTTGAGGGTGCACCTTAGGCCTTCTTTCCTGTAGTCGATAGGCATCAATTTCGTAACCGTGTCTCTCCATGTGCGAGAGATCGGCGTATTTGATGGAGACCATATGTTGATAATAAAAATCATTTAACTTTCTTAGCAATATCAACATAAACTCCCGATCAGTTATGGGAAAACGAAGTCGAGCCCGAATGTAAGAACATCTTGAAAAGAGATGTGAAAATGATTCCCGGTCACTTTGCTCCATATTCACTAGCTTCAGTTTTTCGGTGTCAGTCTGTCGAAATTCAAATGCCCAGTCACTGAATTCTTGAGCTATTTCTCCCCAAGAGCCTTTACTTGTTACCCCTGAGGTATAATACCAGGATAACGCGGGTCCACCCAGACTTCTATTAAACAACATAGGAAAATGTTCTTCTGAAACATTCAAAGGGTATAAGGTGTTCACAAAGTTGTATAAATGGAGAATAGGATCTCCCAACCCATTGAACTTCTCAAACTGAGGAAGATTAAGATAACGATCTACATGCCTGTAGTTAGGGAAAAGAATCAACTCCTCCGGGTATACCAACCTTCTATAACACAGGACATCAAAATCCAAATCAAAATCCTCGGCCCTAGACCTCTTCCGAGATCCCTTATCATGTTTAAAGGAATTACTTGTCCAAGATTCTCCTCTTAAACAAGGATCGCTGTCTTTTAGAGTTTTAGGCTCCTCTTCTACCCCATCTTCATTGGACCAGTTTGTTCCATCTCTAGCTCCTTGGGGATTAACCTCAGAATCATTGTCATTTTCTTGAAGCTCTTCTTCTGGATCTTCCTCAGTTTCTTCTTTCGGATCTTCCTCAGTTTCTTCTTTCGGATCTTCCTCAGTTTCTTCGTCTTCCTCTAAGTCCTCTTCCGGATCTTCCTCCGTTTCTTCTTCTTCTTTCCATGAGCTACTTGAATCAAATCCAATATTATGAATAGTGAATCCGTCTAATCGACTACCCTCTTCTTCATCTAAATGGAGCACCGATTTTCCAACAGTAGAAACATTCATAACTTCTGGATTACCCACAAGTGTCACTGCACCATGATCTGTGAGCAGCTTCACCTTTTGGTGTAAGGTAGAGGCTACCGCCCTATTCTCATGAAGCCATGGTCTACCGAGCAAAAGGTTAAAGCACGCTTCAATATCAATTACCACAAATTCAACATTTCTAGCCACTGGTCCATATTCCAAAAGTAACTCAATTGACCCCAAAACGTCCCTTTTGGCATTGTCGTAAGCTCTAACAACTTGTCTTGAAGGTGTCAAATCTTCTTTTTGATAACCGAGCTTCGTCATAACTCGATAAGGATAACCATTGTCAATAAGTACCCGGGGTTAGGGGTGTACACCGGTCCAAAACCGGACCGGACCTGGACCGGACCTGTTTGGACCGGGGACCTGAATTGGGTAATTATGAGGACCAGGGACCGGACCTGAATTAACAGGTCCGGTTCCGGGCCAGACCTGAAAAATCAGGTCCGGTCCAGGTTTAGACCTGAATGGACCTGTTTTGTGTTTTTTTCGTTTTTTTTAATAAAAAACCTATTGGACCTGCATATGGACCTGCATATGGACCTGTTTTGTGATTTTTAGACCTGTTGCATAATTTAATAATTACATACAAACCAAAATTATCAATCACAAAACTAAATAAAGTCTATAAAGTCCCGATTCTCAAACACCAAAAATACAATTGAATCCACCGAAAATACAAATAAGTCCACGAAAACTCATAACATTACATAAATTCTCTTAAGTCTCAACTCTCAAAGTCTCAAGTACTAGAAATACATAAATTCTCCAACGAGTTATTTTCCCTTTGATCGCGTGATTCACACTAATGAGTCCACGAAAACAACTTCATCGTCTACATCGTTAGATTCACCACGTTGCACCTCTAAATAAAATACAATATAGAATATATTAATGATTGATGCCAATGAAATAATAAATTTGGTGTAACAAAATTTCAAGTACATAAAATTATTACTACCTTTCTCTATTTCCTCTAACTCTTTCAAATTTTCTTCCACATCAACAATTGGCACTTCCTTAGCTCTAAGCCAATCTTGTGTGCAAAGTAGCGCTTGAACCATCTTCAATACAAAAATATTACACAAATATGTATAAACAAAGTCATATTAAGATATAAGCAAACTTTATTTTATAAAATAAAAAGATAACGATGCATTACCTTAGGAGTTAAAGAACTCCGAAATGGATCTAGAGTACGGCCTCCCGTACTAAAAGCAGATTCCGATGCAACGGTCGATAATGGGATGGCTAGTATGTCACGTGCCATGCGATTAAGAATCACATAACGCTGACCATTCTTACCCCACCATGTCAATGCATCTTGTTCTTCCTCCTCCGGCCCTAATTGATCATTTAAGTACCTATCCAACTCACTTATCGCATACCCACTTGTCCCCTTCAATCGTTTTGCTCTTTCTTTTAGTTTCCTCACATAATCTGAACCCACTCCTTTACTATTATCAATATCCATTGACATATTATCTCCACAATCTGGAATATTAGAAGTAGCATACATTTTTCTATATTCTTCAAATAAAGAGTAAGCGAACTCCTTCACATCATTAGCAAGTTTTGTACCCTTTTCCGGTCCATGCATATCCGTTAGTGTCAATTCAACAATGACCATCTTAGAGTAAGAAGAAGAGCAACATAAATGAATTTATTCATCTTATCCACATCCCCCCTAATACTTATCAAACTTTTTTTTCATTGCAATGGCCATAGCTTGAAAATTCAAGTCCTCACTTTGTTCCCAATTATTCAACATATCATACATAGAAGCAATTTCTCCTAAACCTTTATTAGCTGTCACATAATGGGAACCAGAAATTCGTTTAGTCAACAGATAAAATCCCTCTAGAAACAAAACTAACCTCTCCACTTTTTCCCAATCTTCGGGTTCGGGAGGCTTTTCATTGTCATTCAAATCCTCTCCATCAGGAAGAGATAACCCACTAAAAACACATCGAAACTTCAAAGCCGTTTCCAACATTATGTATGTGGAGTTCCAACGAGTGGGGACATCAAAGGATAAAGAAGATTTTGAATCTATGTTTGCTTTTTGCACAAGATCTTTGAATCTAAGTATTCTTGCAGGGGAATTCTTAACATATTTCACAGCATTTCTAACTCTATCAATGCACACACCATGTTCTTTAATACCATCCCACACAATTAAATTAATTTTTTCCATCATTAATACATCCTGTTCTTCTAACCATTCTACTCACGTGTGCACAAGCAACATCATTTGAAGAAGCATTATCAACAGTGACAGTAAAAATTTTATCATCAATACCCCAATACTCTAAACATGCCTCAACTGCTTTTCCAATAGCCTCTCCTTTATGACTAGAAATTGGACAAAAATTTATGATCTTTTTATTTAATTTCCAGTCATTATCAATGAAATGAGCTGTAAGACACATATAATTAATTCTTTGTATTGAAGTCCAAGTATCAGTGGTCACAGAAATTCTTTGACATGTCTTAAACATTTCTCTCAATTTCTCTTTTTCACTATAATACAACTTTAAACAATCACGAGCAATGGTAACACGAGATGGAATGTGAAATTGTGGACATGCAACTTGCACAAAGTGCCTAAAACCGGGTTTTTCCACATGCTTAAATGG